GGTAGAGCTATATGTTCATGAATTAAAGATAATTACGCTAATTCTAGCTACCGTGAGACATTCCCTGAAGCTTATGGTCAGCACTTTTTTTTAATATAAATATATGTACCATCTATTAAGGCTGTCAGTTTGTCTCCAAAGAATAAAGTATTGTGTGAAAGTATGTGTTCCCTACTCAAATGGTCAGGACCAAGGAAAAATTGAACTATAAATGTATTAAATGCTTGTACTACAGAATGAAAGGTTTTTGAAATACTAGGCAGGGAAATGCCAAAAAGAGCGAAACACTTAATAACAAGATATATCAGTTTTCATCTTAACCCAAAACAATAAAAGAGCATTTGGTGTAGTTTTGGTATATACTGAAGAATTGAAGAAGAAACAAATTGGACCATTTACGTATGGGTTTTGAGAAACTGTTCGTTGACCAATTGCAACCTGTCTAAGCTTTGAAGCCAGGGTCATACAAGAGACAAAATTGAGAATGAAGGCTGATTGATTCTTTGATAAGATGTACGGCACTAATAAAAGGCCATCATATATTTCAGATGAACTTCTTCATATTTGAGAGTTGAAAGACTCTCTTCCTTATAGGATAAACTGTGTACAAGGGTTTAGGTCATCGCCAATAAGATGAAATGAGCATACACGTGATGATGCAGAACACCACAATTTGTGAAAATTAACTGATGCCTGGCACGTTTTTGCAGAAGTTCGGATTTGCTTCTCCTCGAATTTAGATTGTTAAACAAAGACAACGTTTTTTTTTTATTTAAACATGACCCTTAAAACAGGTCCTTGATTGGTAAGAGAAAAAAACTTCTAGTAATTTCATCTTCAGAACATTCTCTTTCAGATTCTCCTTTGCTGGTACAATTAAACACTTTGTGAACTGTATATACAATTCAATATGTTTATGTACTAACTCGGATAATACAAGAGGCCCCAATGGGCCTGAATCGCTCACCTGGTATTAATTTAATCTTAATCTTAAAAGTGGACTGAAATAAAACTACATGCAGAATATCAGTTTTTGATTCATAAGAACTTATTAAAATATTTGAACATATGACGCCTGTGACCTTAAATGTCGAACAAGGACATTAGGTTGAACAGAGTTTATAGTCTTCCAACTCAGCATGCTTCTAACAAAATATCATTACCCTGGACCTTTTGGTTATACAGAACAAATCATTTGAAGATTTAAACATATATTGACAACTGTGCCCTTGAATATAGGCGAAGGTCATTCATTTGAACAAACTTGGAAGTCCTTCATCCCAGCATGTAGCTGGCCAAATAAAAGCACCCTAGGCCTTAAGGTTATTCATGAGAAGTTGTTTAAATGTTTAAATATAGTGGACCCCTGTGACCTTGAATATAAGTCAAGGTCATTTATTTGAACAAACTTGGTAACCCTTCATCCCAGCATGTGACTGGCCAAATAGCATCACCTTTGGCGTTTTGCTTATTAAGTAAGAAGTCATTTAAAGGTTTTAAACATATTTGACCCCTGTGACCTTGAATATATGTCAAGGTCATTCATTTGAACAAACTTGGTAGCCCTTCATCCCAGGACACTTCTGGCCAAATGTCATCACCCTTTGCCTCTTGGTTATTCAGAAGAAGTTGTTTAAAGATTTTAACATATTTGACCCCAGTGACCTTGAATATAAGTCAAGGTCATTTATTTGAACAAACTTGGTAGCCCTTCATTTCAGCATGTTACTGGCCAACGAGCATCACCCTAGGCCCCTAGGTTATTCCGAAGAATTTGTTTTAAGATTTTAATATATTTGACCCCTGTGACCTTGAATATAAGTCAAGGTCATTTATTTGAACAAACTTGGTAGCACTTCATCCCAGCATGTTATTGGCCAAATATCATCACCCTAGCCCTCTCGGTTATTTAGAAGAAGTTGTTTAAGGTTTAAATATATTTGACCCCTGTTACCTTGAATATAAGTCAAGGTCATTTATTTGAACAAACTTGGTTGTCCTTCATTCCAGCATGTTACAGGCCAAATATCATCACCCTAGGCCTCTTGGTTATTCAGAAGAAGTTGCTGAAAGATTTTAATATATTTGACCCCAGTGACCATGAAAATGGATGAAGGTCATTTATTTGAACAAACTTTGTAGCCCTTCATCCAAATTTCATCACACTAGGCCTTTTGGTTACTGAGAAGAAGTTGTTTAAAGGAAAAAGTTGACACCGGACGGCCATTCGGGCCAGGTGAGCTAACAAGAGGCCCAGAGGGCCTGTATCGCTCACCTCTTTCTTTTTTTACATGCAACTGACATATAGATAACTTAAGACCAAATTTGGTAACTAGAACACAAGACATCTTAACATCTCTTAAACGGCTCTGAAGATATTGTTGTTTGAAACTTGAAATTTCAATTTTAAAGCTTTTTGCCCATATTGACCTTTGACTCCCGACTTGCACTTAGAATTGACCTTTGACCTCATTACTGTAATAAAGAAAACAATTCACACAGCTGGTCTACATAACATATCCAAGTATCATGACTCTAGTCCAAATGTTTCTTAGGATATTGTTGTTTGAAGTTTTTAACATATTTGACTCCAGTGACCTTGAAAATAGATCAAGGTCGTTTTAATGAGGAAACTTTATAGCACTCCATCCCAGGTACCTACTGCCCAAATATACTGTCCCTGTGCCTAATGGAACTTGAGAAGAAGATTGTTAGAGCCTTTGACCCATGTTGACATTTGATCCCCGACTAGCATTTAAAGTTGACCTTTGACCTCATAACTGTAACTGAGAAAAATATTCGCACTGCTGTTCTACATAACATACCCAAGTATCATGACTCTAGTTCAAATAGTTGTTAAGATATTGTTGTTTGAAATTTTTAACATATTTGACTGCTGTGACCTTTAAAGCAGGTCTAGGTCTTTTTAATGAGGAAACTTTATAGCACTACATCCCAGGTACTTACTGGCCAAGTATCATGACCCTGGGCCTTATGGAACTTGAGAATAACATTGTTAAAGCTTTTAACCAAAGTTGACATTTGACCACTGACTAGCATTTAAAGTTGACTTTTGACCTCATTACTGTAATTGAGAAAAATATTCACACTGCTGGTCTACATAACATACCTAAGTATCATGACTCTAGTTCAAATAGTTCTTAGGATATTGTTGTTTAACATTTTTAACATATTTGACCGCTGTGATCTTGAAAGTAGGTCAAGGTCATTTTAATGAGGAAACTTTATAGCACTCCATCCCAGGTACCTACTGACCAAATATCATGACCCTAGGTCCTACATTTCTTCAGAAGAAATTGTTCAAAAGAAAAAGTTGACGGACGGACGACGGACGACAGACGCCGCACTACGGCATAAGCTCACTTCGGGCCAGGTGAGCTAAATATGTTTAGTTTTGTTCAAATATAAACACAACTCTTTGAATTATGAGAAGGGTTTTTATTTGTATGGTAAACAATGAGGTGACAATGTCGAATAGAGAGTTTACCATGGCAAGATACAAATCAAAATCTCATTCCAACTAGTTAGGTACTTCATACATACACAACCTAGCTCGTTTACACTAGTAAGCCGTGACAATATGTCTGTACAACCCACTGTCTGCTATACCCTTGGTTCAAAGTTGGTTATACTCCTACACAAAATTTGTACAATTTGTATAAACCGTTTTATTTTCCAGTCTTATAATGACATAATATAACTATATATTTCATATCTTGTTCAATTGTACATCACACCATTGTGAATTAACTCATTGATTCCGAAGACTCATTTGAACTCTTCCAATTCAAAGGTTGGAATAATTTGTTATGAAATTTCAAGGGTGAATGAGTTAAATTCATGTTTGACCTCTTTAGTCACAATTTCACCTGCGTTTAAGATACCTGCGACCAATTGAATACCCAACATGGAAACCAATACAAAAACTGTTGGTGAATGTTTGGTATTTCTAACTGAATCTAAAATAAAAAGTTTAGGTGTGTTGTTTTATACAGTAGGAGTCAGTCTTCAAGGACATTTTTCTGGAGAGTACGTTTTTATAAACTTCAGACCCATTTATGTCAGTGGAAGCGCATTCTTCATTGACAAACATCCAGAACTACATTTACACTCTAATGATTATACATTATTTAATAACTGGCATTCTATTATTATTGCACTCGTATATGTCATACAACTTATATATGTATATATATATATATTCTGAAAACTATAGGAATGTTTTCAAAATAAAGTTTTAAAACAGTCATTTTAAAGGAGGGTTAAATGCAAAATTAATATCATTATAGCTTCAGATTGGAATAAATCAATGAACAAGTCATTTTCTTAAACAATTGGCCATAGTTTCATTCTTTCTGATAATGTATGCTGCACATTCCAGAGGTGAAAGGTCAATGCACCACAGTGTAAGGTTTGCAAAACCATGTTCTATGAAAATAGTACATGACATCATTCCTATCAATGTGTTTAAGTTTAATAATATCAATTTAACGTGACCGAAAAAAATTGCCAAATTTGTATCAGTATATTTTCTGAATTAAAACAAAACATGTTTTATAATCAATATGGGCAATGTTAAAACACATTTTTTTGTGATTCAACCAATGAAGTGTCAGAAACAAAAACACATTTTGTTTACCATATTTTTCATACCATAATTTCACTGGCTAATTTTACATCACAGAATTCAGATAAATATAAGAAATACAAGGAACATATAAAAATGCAAATATTCCAAATTTAGAATGAAAACTTCAAAAGAGATATTAAAACTATGTTTTGCAGAATACAAAAATAATGGAGAAACAAAGGTAACATTTATGCTAATTTTGTTTTAAAGATTGTTTTCTAGAATATTATGAAAATCTGATCAAATATCACAATTCACAACATTTTTTTCAAAATATACATTATGTGAATATTTTATACTTTTTTATCAATTTATCTTTTATATACATAAATAACACTTTTTCTCCCAGCCCAGCCCAGCCCAGCCCAGCCCCCCACTCCCCTAGGTAATTTCCATAAACCTCACACCAAGCTCGTTAACATTAACAAACGTTTATATCACAAAAAGCTCACCCACCATCTTATACACACTACAATTCTCCTTACTGACCAATCAATAATCTCTTTACATACATTGCACATCATTCAAACTTTATCGTTGATCAGCGCCTTTAAACTGTATGTAATTACTAAATATTGACTTTGTGGAGATAAAATACATACAATTTGTAGCACTCTCTATCAGTACCGTAACAACAGTCATCACTCTGTAACACTTTTCTATAGGTATCAGCCTAGATACAAACTTAATGCTGAACTCATGACATATCTTGCTTGACATGAAAAAGGAGGATCATCAGTGTTAATTAAACATGGACAATCGAAGCGCCTACTTCAAAAGATTGCTGCTAGCTAATAATCTGTAATATCTAATTATGATATTTCAGTGTCCCAACATGTATTGTTGTGAAAAAGGTTGATAAATGTTCCAAACAAAATGTATGTGTGTAACTTGGATGAGGACATAGAAAGTTAAATTTCTGTTTTATTTATTTATAGAAACTGTGCTGAATCTCGTCTTTCAAAATAGCATAGCAGCCAAAACAGATACAAAAGTAACTTCCTAGGTCCATCTGATCAAAATTCTATTAGCTTCACAAAATGTCAATGCTACTCTCTTATAAAGTATATTTTCAAAAATTTATGTTTCAGAACTAATACTGCATGTATAGGGATCCAACACGATCATCCGATGACAAAAACAAATACGAGAAATATTGTAATTTTACAGATGTTTCCCAAAAATTTCATTGTATGCATTAATGACTTGTAAGCTTATATGGCTTTAAACTGGGCCCAGGAAATTATAAAAACTGAAGTATTATCTACAATGACATTTTTATAGCTTACATTATCACTTGTCTATTAACCCTATACTTAATTTCATGCACATTAATAACGGTGTATATATGTACAGGACTCAGCATTTACCTATTTTTGACCTATTTCAATTATAAGATTTTATATAGTATATTTTTATTTCTACACTGTAGTGTAAAGTATGGATTGATATAATGATGGAATATATGTCGCATATATGTCATGATCATGTGCTTGATTTTGGCTAATAAGATTTGCTTCATTATATATCAAACAGATGTGATTGCTCAAACATTATAAACTTAATATTTATTGATTTCAAATTCACTAGAGTTTATTTGTTTTAGAATGATTTCCTGTGTGTGATATTATGGAAGTGATAAATTCAGATTGTATTTGCTCGGAAATTTGCCTGTTTTGTTTGAAAATATTTGCTCTTAATTTACACTAACACATCTAGATTTTATACTTCCTAAGCCTTGCAGAAAATGACCATGATAGTAAACTATTCTACATTATAATAATGGTGAAACAATGGCTACACATCTGAAGCAACAACAAACACTTACTGAACTTGGTTCAATAGCACTTAACAATATAAACAAAGGCAAAAAGAATTGAAATCACAAAAATTTGAAAATCCAAAGAATGATTAAGTGAAATCTATAAACCAAATTTAAAAAGAAAATCCAACAGCCCAACCATTTTTTACTCTTAGGGAACTCAGGTGTTGTAGTTATATTTAGAACACTTTTCAGTATTATACAATTGTAATAAAGAACAAAATACTGCCATTGCTTTAACTTGTTACAGGAAATTACCAGAGCTAGGCATCCTTTCTACTTTAGAGTTCCTTGAAGAAGGCACTTGACTAATTCTATAGTTTAAGACTATTTTTATGCTTTTTGTTTATAAATAAAACTAAGTTAACGACTACAAAACATTGGATACATAAATTGACATGCAAAAAAATGCTATCACAGACTAATGAATATCAATTATCAATTTAGATCAGATACCATTTACACTAGCTATAGTTTTAGACCATCAGACTGAGGATAGTTTTTTTGGATGAGGATAGTTTTTGTGTTGAATTACATGAAAAAAGTTTTCAACTTGAAAAAATAAGACTGCTTTTAAGTCAGCAGTACCAATGACTGCTAATAGTTGTAACTGTAAGATAACCTGGTTATAAATTGTATAAAAATGAAAAACCTGTACAGTACATTCAGATCATTTCATTAAGTTAAATCATTTTTCTTCTAATAAGGACTTTAATATGTCACTTATTAACGAAACAAAATAAACCCTTAACAGTATCTATATCTCACTGTGTACAAAAAAGGTATTTTCATTTTTCATGTTAAAACTTCCAAAAATGTTCCTAAAACAGTGTGTAACAGATGATTATCTACATGTATATCAAAATTTAGTTAATTTACCTACGTAACGTAGCAATCACTGATTACAGTGTTTCCCTTTTTTCACAATAGCATGTGGAGTTAATGTTTTCTTTTTTCTCTCAATCAATATAATGATCTTTTGCTCAGCAGTGAAAGCAGATGCCTATGTGTATATATACAGTCCCCTTAAAAAAATATGGCACCCTCTTGAGACAAAAAAGTCGTAGAAATGAAATGTTAGATCCTCCACCAGATGATGACACAGAATGTTGTACAGCCACTGTGAGATTATAACCATGCTCCACTTTTCTGTCTTCAGTTAACAGAAGGACCCGGAGGAGGGGGACTGGGATCCTGAAATGTCAACGTAAATATGGTATCACTATCTACTTAAACATCTTATGTCTGCAAAATCAACAGTACACTATATAGCTACTTAGTCGAGCAAGGTCATCCAAATATGACCTTCATATCACCTTCATATCTACTACAGGTATATATATATTTTTCAATATTCCAGATAGTAAAAAGTAGGACATTCAATGTTGACATTGAAACCAGGTACACTGTAGATTGCCTTATACTTTTTCTGAAGTACTCTCTACTCAAAATTTCATTGACATCATTATCTTTTGGAGAGCAGACTTACATTGTTCCTGGCCGGTTTGGAGTCGCCAGTATTTCTCATGCTCCTGGGACGAAACAGGAAAAGAGCTGTGGCCAAAGCGACCCATCCGAACATCATGAGCATCATGTTGTTTAAGCCTCCATCTGGGGCAGTATTGGCACCAGGTACTGAAATATATACAAAAGTTCCATTAATCAAAGGTTCGTGAAACAAAGGGTTTTATAAATTTATTGGGAAAACATGTCTGCCTGATTTTGAGATTAACATGTTCACATCATTTCAAAAATTGGTGGAAAAAAAATGTTTTAAGTACTATTATATATCTTTTTAAGAACGGTTTCACATTTTATTTTTAATTCATTCCAGAGGATCATAGAGGAACAAAAAAAATATATATCTTGCTGACTTTCACATTATGAATAAGATTCTATATTGATGATTATCTGTGACTATACTTACAGTCTGTCAAACACTCATTGTCTGTGCAGTATGACTGGGTGTTTCTCAGCTGAAAAATTAATCAATAAATCTCAATAGACAACACGTGTCTCCATCACATAAGTCTCACAAACATTACTGGAAGTTAGATGTACACAGCTTCAGAATGTATAGCATCATTGTCCTAAATCTTGCATGTTCAATATTTCTTTCACTACCTGTCTTTTTTACTGCTTTATTATATATTGGTAAGTAATATTTTGTATGTACATAGTAACGAATTAACAGAGAGCTGTAGCAATAAACGTTATCTGTCCATAGCTATGATTCAGGATTTTTCCTTTGAACATATACGTGTAAACATTTTCGGGTACATTAATGATTTAGTACACTGTATTGTACATGTATGTGTGTAATATGTCCGCTATAGTAGTTTAGTAATATCTCTGTTAATGCTCGTCAGTTTTGTTTCTGTATTGCTTTAGGCCCTTTGACTACTCAAGTCATTAAGAGCAAAACAACACTTCAAACAGACATTTCCTAAAACAGAAAAATCAAACTAACTAAAAAGTTAAAATGTTTAAAAGATGCAAAAAACATCAACAAACAAATGAACTTGAGTTTCATGAATTAAAGCTAAATATATGATAGTTAAATATACATAGTCCACAGAAATGTTAAATCAATTGTCGGGAAATTATATTATAAATATATGTATTAAATAGGTATATAACTAAACTTTAAGGCTGAAACATAAAGTGTGTTTCTTGTTCTATCCATCTCAAAATTAAGATGAGTACATATGTTGTATAACTTAAGTTAGTTTTCCAAGAGTATGAAATCTGATATGGCCAATCTCTCTCATTCATATACAGTGATGTACCATAATTCTTTCATGTTATAATTATTTCCCCATTGGTTTCTACATTAATTCAATGTTTTAGTAAATTTTTACAACTTAATTTTTTACTCAAATTTCGATAAAAAAATTGTACACAGCTGGAGATTTATTCACACCAGTGCTTCAATATTCTGTAACAGGAAAGAGAGTATACTGTGTGTTTCCATCGGGGATCAAACCAATGACCCATGACCACTGGGCATGAGCTAAAGGTAAATTCCCTCTAGTAAGAAGCTTAGAAGGCGACCGTAATGCTATATAGGATAAGTTAAATATAAGTTTATTTCTGGTTCAGGACAATTATATAGTCCTCTACATATACCAGCTACCACACTTCTATTAGTAATGTTGATATAATCAAAGTCGTCTGTTGTCCCATATATCAAATTATTCATGACTGATAAATTTTTGACCAAGCTCTGCACAATTATTTTTTACGTCATACCTCATCCTATGTTCACATTTTGCTTGAAGAATTTATTTCGGCCAAATAATTTATCATGGATAAAATTCTGAGAAACATCAATATGTATCACCAACATAAAATGCAGGAGTCTGCAAGCTGATGCCAACTTGCATTTGGTAGAAGTAGAATCCTATAAGATAAGTTCATTCCGGTTCAGGAATTATCAAATTCCTCTATACCAGGCTTATGTTAATAGGACGAAAAATGAAGCAGAGAAATTTTAATGAAGAAGTGTCTTAACATCATATCAAATGGGAAATAACATAATGTGAAAGACTTATGTCACGTCACTGTAGTATATACAATAAATTAACGTAATAGTTTTATTTGAGGTCTTTATGTTGAACATGTACATGTTACTACGTGGTCACCCATACTGAAAAAAAGACCAAATCTCCCTAGAAAATGTTGAAAGAAGGGCAACCGAACTAGTTCCATCCATAAAAGATCTTGTACCCTGAACGTATTCGTCGGCTAGGGCTACCATCGCTTGAATATATATAGAAGACTAAGAGCTGCTATGGTAAAAATCTATAAGCTGATAATTATAAACACCATAGATATATAACTAACCAACAAATCATCCCTGCCTTAGGTTTTTAGTATTCATTCATAGACAGAGCTAAAGCGTGGATGTAATTTATATCCAGAAGTTTGAGTCTTAAAGTCTTTCTCCAGATCTGGTACGTACACATATAGATGTGACAAAGTCTTCTTCTGTAATTGGTTTATGTTAAATTATTATATTAATGAGATTTTGGATAAAGTAGCATTAATTATATTGTGAAATTGTACTTTTTATAAAATTAACAGAATCTTTATCTTACGTACATGTGTAATTAATCGATACATAGATAGCTCTTTTTAAAGTAATGTATATGTTTTTATCAACACAATGTAAATTGTGATTTACATGTCTCTTTTACAGAGATGATAGTTTTCGATAGAGAACGCGCGGATACAGATCTTCATTCGTGTAAACCCCCAACCCATAGTTGGGGTAGGTATTTTAATATTGTATGTGATAATGTAAACAAGCGCTAACTGATGAGGATAATTGTATTTAATATAATTATGTATAAGTAATTCGTAAAGGTAATTTCAACTATTGATTATGATGAAGTCAGTCATTGTAAAGTTATTCCTATTTTTGAATAACCTATTGTGTGTGAACGGATCAAATATGTATGCACCGAAGGTACATGTAAGGAATTATATATGTGAGCGCTGTGTTTCATTATGTAATCAATTGTATTGTGTCTTTGTAGGTTTTTTTGATTATGTTCCACATATTGTGGGAATAAACCGGTAAACAAGAAATCTGCGTCTACCTTGACTTTTCATTCAACTTTACACAACCTCAATACAAGGGGTTACTTATATAATATTACGTTGTATACGTGTCCTCTGCGCAGCCTGTAAATGACTATGAAGAAGTGTCAACAGATCTAGAATCAATGAATCATGCTTACAGAGACGTCGACCACCATGAACCTAGTACTAACATTAATACCCGGCCTCCTCTGCCCCGGACAACGCAATAAATAAAAAAATCTCTCGTCGTCCGAAAGCTTTGTGATCGCAGCTACCATGAACCATGTTTACTTACCAAGTTAATGAGTCTTTGCATGGCATGTTCATGATTCCAAACACACTCACATGGGTCAAAACCGTCAGCCATTTTCACTGTAACAAATTAAAAAGTTGATCTTGTATATATATATATATAAAGATATGTAAATTCTCCCAAGGTCTCCGACACCCGATTTGTTACTAACGTCCGAATTTTTTTATCTTGTCGTCAGAAAGCTACGTTATCGTGCCCGTTATCGCAGCTACAGATGTATGTACCTAAATGTTTGTGTAAGTGTATGTGGTCACTTCGGTCTACATGCATATTGATTACATCGATAGGCCTATGTAAGTAAATAAATCTGGTGTTTGGGCGCGTCGAAACTCGAACTGGAAAGCTGTCCTCGAACAATGCACCCTTTATATAATGACGAGTATTACATATAGCACAACCAGACACTTTCCTCTTGACAGGTCACAATGACCGACTTGCTTATCAACTCGCGAAACTCAAGTTAACATTTTGGAAAATAGACAACAATACTTCGTTACGTGCAACCTCTGAGTAAATACGCGTGTTTTCATCGCAATGATAATATAACTCGAAAAACTGTACACTAATAACGATGAGTAAAATAAACCGTCGAGCATATGGCCATCCTACCTGTGATGTTTTCGTCTAAACCTCTAACACTTCATCCACTTCCGCCTGTCCTCAGATTTATCAACAAAGACACGTCAGGGTTTAGCAAAGTCCCCGGATGAACGCAAAGAATTTTGCCCGGGAAATGATTGAAATATGAAATAGACATTTTAACATTTATACGTCCAAATATACTTAGCTATTTATTTTGTTGAAAAACGAACTATACATTTTATACATATGCCCTGTTATACTTAGAAATTATTGAAATATGAATTAAACATGTTATACATGTATATATCCTCGGGTTACCGGATTCCGCGCACTTAACGATTTCGTACTCATATCGGCAGAAAACTGTTGAAATTACGGATCAGTGTCATAAACATGTATACAATCTACAAAAGGAAACAAAAAACTTGCAACATAAAACTGTATTTAAAAAAAAAGAGAACAAACAATTTTTTTACAAATTTTCTCCCGTCGGAAGTAGCCGTCATATGTTTCCGTGTGTCTATTCTGATTTAGTGTTCAAAGAAAGATAACTCGAATACACTTAAAAGAATTTCTCTACAGTGACCCTGCAAGAACAACAACACTTTGATCGTCAAATTAATTATCAAAACAATTTCTTTTAAATATCACACTTTTAATTGATTTTTCAAGATGTCAAATTGAACGAATTCATGTAATTTTAGAAATTTATTTATTATATTTTATTTAGTTATTGACTCTCTTATATAGAATCTGTTATTTATTTTTTCTGCAGTCTTATATGGGTTTTGGTTGATGGTAAGTTATTTCTATTTTTGTTCTGTTTAAAATTCGAAGTAGGGTTATTATACAGGGAATCCTTTTACAGGGTAACAAGTGAAACTGTCTAGAATAGTAGCTATTGATGAAGTGTGGTTATTATACAGGGAATCCTTATACGAGGTAACATGTGAAACTGTTTAGAATAGTAGCTATTGATGAAGTGTGGTTATTATACAGGGAATCCTTAGACGGGGTTACATGTGAAACTGTCTAGAATGGTAGTTATTGATGAAGTTTGGTTATTATACAGGGAATCCTTATACGGGGCAACATGTGAAACTGTCTAGAATAGTAACTATTGATGAAGTGTGGTTATGATACAGGGAATCCTTATACGGGGTTACATGTGAAACTGTCTAGAATGGTAGCTATTGATGAAGCGTGGTTATTATACAGGGAATCCTTTTACATGGTAACAAGTGAAACTGTCTAGAATAGTACGTAACTATTGATCAAGCGTGGTTATTATACAGGGAATCCTTTTACAGGGCAACAAGTGAAACTGTCTAGAATAGTAACTATTGATGAAGTGTGGGTATTATACAGGGAATCCTTATACAGGGTAACATGTGAATCTGTCTAGAATGGTAGCTATTGATGAAGTGTGGTTATGATACAGGGAATCCTTATACGGGGAAACATGTGAAACTGTCTAGAATAGTACGTAGCTATTGATGAAGTGTGGTTATGATACAGGGAATCCTTATACGGGGCAACATGTGAAACTGTCTAGAATGGTAGTTATTGATGAAGTTTGGTTATTATACAGGGAATCCTTATACAGGGTAACATGTGAATCTGTCTAGAATGGTAGCTATTGATGAAGTGTGGTTATGATACAGGGAATCCTTATACGGGGGAACATGTGAAACTGAAAAGTAGCTATTGATGAAGATTGGTTATTATACAGGGAATCCTTATACGGGGTTACATGTGAAACTGAATAGTAGCTATTGATGAAGTGTGGTTACTATACAGGGAATATTTATACGGGGTAACATGTGAAACTGTCTAGAATAGTACGTAGCTATTGATGAAGTGTGGTTATTATACAGGGAATCCTTATACGGGGTAACATGTGAAACTGAAAAGTAGCTATTGATGAAGATTGGTTATTATACAGGGAATCCTTATACGGGGTAACATGTGAAACTGTCTAGAATGGTAGCTATTGATGAAGGGTGGTTATTATACAGGGAATCCTTATACGGGGTAACATGTGAAACTGTCTAGAATAGTAGTTATTGATGAAGTGTGGTTATTATACAGGGAATACTTATACGGGGTAACATGTGAAACTGTCTAGAATAGTAGTTATTGATGAAGTGTGGTTATTATACAGGGAATACTTATACGGGGTAACATGTGAAACTGTCTAGAATAGTAGTTATTGATGAAGTGTGGTTATTATACATGGAATCCTTATACAGGGTAACATGTGAAACTGTCTAGAATGGTAGTTATTGATGAGGTGTGGTTATTATACAGGGAATCCTTATACGGGGTTACATGTGAAACTGTCTAGAATGGTAGCTATTAATGAAGTGGGGTTATTATACAGGGAATCCTTATACGCGGTAACATGTGAAACTGTCTAGAATAGTACGTAGCTATTGATGAAGGGTGGTTATTATACAGGGAATCCTTATACGGGGCAACATGTGAAACTGTCTAGAATGGTAGTTATTGATGAGGTGTGGTTATTATACAGGGAATCCTTATACGCGGTAACATGTGAAACTGTCTAGAATAGTAGGTAGCTATTGATGAAGTGTGGTTATTATACAGTGAATCCTTATACGGGGTAACATGTGAAACTGTCTAGAATAGTAGCTATTGATGAAGTGTGGTTATTATACAGTGAATCCTTATACGGGGTAACATGTGAAACTGTCTAGAATAGTACGTAACTATTGATGAAGTGTGGTTATTATACAGGGAATACTTATACGGGGTAACATGTGAAACTGTCTAGAATAGTACGTAGATATTGATGAAGTGTGGTTATTATACAGGGAATACTTATGCGGGGTAACATGTGAAACTGTCTAGAATAGTACGTAGCTATTGATGAAGGGTGGTTATTATACAGGGAATCCTTATACGGGGCAACATGTGAAACTGTCTAGAATGGTAGTTATTGATGAAGTGTGGTTATTATACAGGGAATACTTATGCGGGGTAACATGTGAAACTGTCTAGAATAGTAGTTATTGATGCAGTGTGGTTATTATACAGGGAATCCTTATACAGGGTAACATGTCAAACTGTCTAGAATGGTAGTTATTGATGAGGTGTGGTTATTATACAGGGAATCCTTATACGCGGTAACATGTGAAACTGTCTAGAATAGTACGGAATCCTTATACGGGGTAACATGTGAAACTGTCTAGAATGGTAGTTATTGATGAAGTGTGGTTATTATACAGGGAATACTTATACGGGGTAACATGTGAAACTGTCTAGAATAGTACGTAACTATTGATGAAGTGTGGTTATTATACAGGGAATACTTATACGGGGTAACATGTGAAACTGAAAAGTAGCTATTGATGAAGTGTGGTTATTATACAGGAAATCTTTATACTGGGTAACATGTGAAACTGTCTAGAATGGTAGCTATTAATGAAGTGGGGTTATTATACAGGGAATCCTTATACGCGGTAACATGTGAAACTGTCTAGAATAGTAGCTATTGATGAAGTGTGGTTATTATACAGGGAATCCTTATACGCGGTAACATGTGAAACTGTCTAGAATAGTACGGAATCCTTATACGGGGTAACATGTGAAACTGTCTAGAATAGTAGCCATTGTTATACTTTTACGTCTTATTCTCTATACTCTGCTATAGTGAAAAAAGTTTGAAATTCCAGATGATTGCCACAGAAAACTGTTGACCGGTCAACATCGAAATGTTGACTGGCTTTGAGTGAAATGTTGACTGCTAACGACACAGCTCATTACTATTCGGTATTTCCCGGCCATTACCAGGCAACTTCCGCTGTTAAGCAATTACCAATAGTGGCATCCCTATAGGAAGTATTGCTCACGTCTGCTTCCGGCCGTCTGCAATGTTTATGTATGTCGGCTGCCTTATGTACAATCATATACAGATTTTCGGAATACACTGCTGCAGAAATTGATGAAATTTCTAATTACACAGACAGTACAAACACCAAGAATGTGATCAGAGTTGCAGAGAAATTAATAACAGAGTATATTGAAGCAAAGCATAACGCATTAGCTCGGGATTGTTTCCAAGATAAATCCAAATTGGAAACGTCAGAAATTTTGAAAAAAGTTATAACAAAACATTTCGGTCAGTATGTGTTATGTTGAACCCTCGGACCAAACTGTTTGGTCCTCTGTTTCAACATGATACATGTTGTCCTCAAATCGAGTCAACAAATGTATATTGAATGACGATGTGAATTATGTTGTTTACTGCTTTGATATGTATTTTTGTTTTTGTTTACGGAGTATAAATATATGCTATCTCTGTATGGAAATAAAAATATTCATCAATGTAATAATATTAATCTTGTTTTGTTTTTGGTATTCATGGTTGAAACGAACGCAGCGTATCAATCAACGAAACATGACGTAAGGGTACTTCAAATGGAACACTTTACATTTACATAAAGATACATCATGAAGCGTCATGTGCATTTTGCAATATGTCTTTTTCAAATCAAATAATGTTGAATAGTAGCTCTAAATATAAAACATCAAATAGCAGTACAAACTCATTTTGCGGTACCCTCACGTGAAAAAACCCTTCACGGACATATTAGATATCAAATCCGTGCTTATATCAAATAATCTATTAAAGAAAGATATTAAGAAACATGAGCAAATCAAAATAAGCAGAGTGAACAAATTGATACAAACACGTGTATTATAGCACAAGTTTGACTCCACACTTAGAGTTACCCCCTTGAAGGTATACTGGTGACGTTGACTATAACTTGGTACCAAAATGTGTTTTTCATAAGTACCAAACGACTTGGTACCAAAACGACCGGGTACCTAAACGACTAGAATTCGAAAACGTCGCTTCTTCTTTTTCTGCTTCTGCCTGGTAAAAGCCTCCTTCAACAGGTTAAGTGAAGATTCTGCTATGTTCGTAGGTGGCCATGGTGTGCATTGTGCAGGACTTACGTTGAAAGGTTAAAAATTGATAAAAACAGGATAAAAAAAAGGACCTCAGAGTTTTGAAACACTGGCCTTGAAGGCGTCAAGTGTGTCGGCGAGGGTGATGTCTGGCGGGAGGGTGTTCCAGTCTCTCACCGTCCTGGGGAAGAAGGACAT